CTTAAAGCCCATACGTAACGTATGTAAACAAGTATACGCAAAAGAAAAACCCGCTATACCCTATCGTAATTTTGAAACGAATGGCCGACCATACGACTTCGCTCAAACTTGGCAAAAATGTTGGGTTTGGTGAGTGAGTAATTGTGGCAAAAAAGTGGGTCAAAATAATTTATTCCCTTCAAGTTAAGGAGACCCCCTGCAAAAATGGCCATTTGACACTGATTTATGCATACTTAATAAGCCATCTTTGGTTTAGTATTTCTACAAAAAGAAAAGCCATGGGAAAATGAAATTCACTGGATCATGTTTTACAACTATCAGTCTACAAGCACAGATGTTCATTTTAACTAGGTGATTTGGTTTCTCTCCGTGCCTTCATCTTAAGGTTACTGTAGACCTTCAGGGGTGCTTTCCGGAAAATGCTTTCTTTACGCGCTGCATTAAAGAAAACCACGGTAAACTATATATCATTATAAAGCTGATAAGCTGTAGAATCCGAAAATAACAATAGATTTTGTTGGAACATTCGCGTCGGAAAGCAAGGTTATGTGTTTATTTTAACTGATTTTAAGACGGTAGTGTTGTGATGTTTTATTCCTGACATCAATCTGTGTCACCAATTATTTTGAGACTGAGAAAAGAGGAATTTTTTAACCAATTATTCTCATAAACATTTTGCTTATTGGCTTTGTTAAATTCGAGACCAAGCAATGGTTTCTTACCTTGTAGTAATTTCAAGATCAATTTTGTGTTTGGTTTAGTTTGGCTCGACTGCCGAATGAAATCTACACTGTTCGAGTATTTTTTCTGAGTCATTTTCTAAAAAAAAAAGGCGTTTTCTTTCTTCCTGCTTATTGTACCTGTTCACGCCCTAGAAAAGACTGTTTTGTACCTTATCTTTCGCCCAGTGACGTAAAATATTATCTTAATTCTGAAAACGTTTGGCCATTTTAAAAAACAGAGGGAAAATGTTTGCTATTTTGACGTTATCTGTGCGTCTGCCCTCTAATCGATCACGAGTAAGAACCAATCAAACTGCGAGAATAATTTGACCTATTTTACAATGTTTTGTATTGCATTGTAATTATAATGTATTGCATTGTTTTGGATTACGTATTGCAGCGCATTGTATTGTATGGCACCGTGCCGTGTATCTCAAACAAACACACCTAACGACTGCGTTTTCCTCATGCTCATTGGGCAGGTGAAAGGGGTACCTTTCTCTTTGGAAGGTATATGAAACTTTCTGAGATATCCCCGGTCCTCGGGAACTGTAGTTTACTCTACGGAATTAAACCCAGTTGTCCTGTGCTGTTCCCTTACGTTGCTCATGTTTACTATACCACACTGTACCTGTACTGCCTTTATATTGTATTGTACTAGATCAGAACAATTTATTGCACTTTGATCAAACAAACGCCGCCCATTGATTAATACTTTGGGATTAGTCATTGGACAGAATTTACCGACGTTCGCATCCTGAGGTAAATTAAATACAAAACTTTCCAAAACAAACGAGGCAAGGTGAGGAAGGAACAAATATATGAAACACTAGCATAAGTCATTTATCGACACAAATAATATCATATTGTTACCTTTTTGTTTTCCTTTAGTGGAAAAACGACGTAGCGTCTACAAGTGAAAACGTTTTTCCGGAAAGGTACTTTGATAGTGGCTTTGATACATTGTCATCAGGTTTGTTGTATTTTTTTTATTTCATTGATATATATCAACATTGTATGATTAACGTTTTATTCTTACATCACAACTTTTCAGTCCAGTAAAACTGTTATATGGGATAATAGAAAGATACACCCTATTCAATGGTTTGACAGATAATACGGGTACATAATTTCGAAACTTTAAATCGCCGGGAAAAAATACACAGAAACGTAAACCTAGAAAGCAAAAACATTTTATAATACCAATATTTGGAAGCTTAAATCCTCGTATTAGCACTTACTAGGAAATATTACCTTTGAAATTACAAGCAAATTCATGTTTCCACCTTGGTACATATAAATCTTATTTATGTCATTTTTAGGTGATTTTTATTTAGGAGGGCTCCACTGAAAACCGCCTTTGGCGAGTTGGATTCCCTCACTAAATATTATTATTATTATTATTATTATTATTATTATTATTATTATTATTATTATAAAGGGGGTGGGGGTGGTTGGACCCCTTTAGGTTTTCATTTTGATAAGATATATCAAGTAATGTATTTTTGTTCCTCAACTTGCTTTAGACGTCGGGGGACTCAGATTTTTCATTTGTCCTACGCTCGTGACATAGTGGACATTTCGTCTTCATCTATCTTTAGAGAGTTTAAGCATGGCGTTTACAGCCAACGGCAAAAATGAAGACTTAATTGAGTTTTCAGTGCAAGAAGACAATAGCTTTAATAAGACTTACTGACAATTTAATTTTCAATATTTCGCACCGTAAATACCGAACGCTTGTGTAGTACATAATTTATTCGAGACTCACATTAGTTTACTTACTTTTCGTTCAAAATAATGAATGCAACCATGGAGACACCAATTCAAAACGTTCAACAACTTTTGTTTTACTTTTTTTTCTTTCTTTCAGAAAGTAACGCACTAGTTCCAGTGGACCCTGCAAATTGTTTAGAGGATGAGGTATTCTGTTCTCTGAGTATTGAAAACTAGTTGCTTCATTGCATTGTCAGATAGTAGCGGATCTCCTGCGCGCCGAAGGCGAGAGAGCGGAACCCCATACCTTAGAAAATCTGGTAACACATCGATTTCAAAAATTTGGGTTGTCACGTGACTTTCCACAAACGTCTGTACGTACGAAGACAAGCAATAGACTGCAAGGCTGATACTAAACATTCAACCGCATGGCCAGTACCATGCTTAAAAAACGCAGCGTATAGGATCTGAAAAGACCTACGGTTTCTCATTTCTGTATTCTCGGACCGTAGGTCTTTTCAGATCCTATACGCTGCGTTTTTTAAGCATGGTACTGGCCATGCGGTTGAATGTTTAAATGTTTAGGCTGGCNCGCAAGTGAGTTCAAAGTACGGAACTTGATATAGTGAACGGGTCATTTTGCAATTTATGTGCGTTGGCTGTTGGGCTGGCGTTATATATCTTCGCTACACAGTGCTGACGAGTCCCAAGAAGCGCGAAACAGCTGTCCACTGTTGCGATCCTACTTTATCGGTTCTTGTCATGTTGGTGTCTCGAAACGTTTTTCACGTAGTATCAGCCTTGCAGTCTATTGCTTGTCTTCATACATTTTTTGGCTGATCAGATCTCTTGTAGATCCTATGTTGGCAGCGTTTATCGTACGCGGTCCCTTGCAGTTTCTGGTTTCTCATTTCTGTACGTACCTAAGCCAAACCCCATACCTTGAAAAATAAGAGAGTAGTACCATAGGTACATCTTTAATATTGGACATTCATATAACGATTAATTGACAGCTGTCAAATCAAGGTTGACCAGTATCACATAACAATATCGCGGACTCAGGTTAAGAGCTCTTTTGTTGAAGTTGACCGCTGACGAGATACTGTTTTTTGGATGGATCGTGGGCTCAAGCCAGGTTATTACTCTGGGGGACAAAGAGGAAGTGCGTGTAAATGCAAAATTTCGGGGCAAATTAACTTTTCTTCCGACATGTTCCTTGCAAAATCGTCTATTGGAAAGTCCCTTTTATATTGCGTACGTAATTTCTACAACCTTGGGTACACTTATTGGGTATAGTTTGTTAAAATTCAACTAGAAAAAAATTGTGAAAGGACACACTGAACCATTACATGCTCACAACAGATAAAGCTTTATATTACGTTTTCTTGAAAGTTTGTCCATGACTTAAACGTGAGTGGTTATTTAGTTGGACTCAGATTTTTCCTTTGCTTGATACAGGGTGGAGTGGGTTATAAATTGATGGTTTCTATAAAGGAACCATAACAAAAGAAACCATAAATTTAAAGTGATTGACAAATCGCTTTAATGTTATCCTTCATCACTTTAGATTTTTCCTGGTGTTGGATAGGAAGTCAGATATTTGTAGCCGAGAATCCGCGTCAGCGGAGCACCATGAGTAGGCAAATCTGGAAACCTGTCGGTGTGAGAAATGTTTGCTAAGATCTCCCCAAACGTTCGGTGGTCGAAGTCAACCGTCTGGTCACAACAGGTAAACAGCGTGAAATGTCAAATTGCGCAAGACATGATGGCGCCTTGCGGCACAAATTTACAAGCTTCCGAGGTCTTGTTTTCCTTCATAACACAGAAAATTGCCTCTTTTGGCCTTCAAATCGTTAGAAGAAATAACAAACAATGTTTCATGAGCACCGAAGGGGAAAATCATGGGGTAGAGAGTCATTCAAACCTTCCAGGTGAAGGGATTCTTTTCCCTCCTTCAATAGCGGCAAATAGAAAATCTTGTTGACCCAGCCTTTAATTGAAGGCATAAAGTTCTCAAAGAAAGGTGGCCGAATGAAAGAAGTTGTAGAAAACTTCGTTTGAGATTGATTAGCATTCAAGGTAAAGCTAAGAAACGCATTTAGAAGCAGAAAAACGTTTAAAGTTTGAAAGAACATTGGTTTCGTAATTAGCTTGTTCAGGTCCATTATTCACGTCCCAAAAGCGTAATTTTAGGGACCTTACTCATGCACGTAGGACGGCGACGGCGGGGACGACGCTTATTAAGAGAAGGGTATTTCAAAGAGTTTTATTTGCCGTGAGCGATGCTGGGCGTGGGATTCTTGTTCACGAAATTGAAGGTAAAGCATTTGTATTACATCTGGACCGCAACGTAATGGCTGTAAAAAGTGGAACTTGTGATATAATTTAATTTTAGTAAACTTATTTACTCTCGTTTTTCTCTAAAAATTAGCTGTTTTAAAAAGCTTAAGTGAAGTAACGTTCGGCTGAATTTTAAAAGGTTTCATTATTAGCTACAAATGTGGCAAAGGAGCGCAAATGAAAATGCTGCTGGTAAACGCAGGATCTGTAAAAGATCTGATCAGCCAACAATAGAAATAGAATAACATTGAAGCAAGGCTGATTACTACGTAGGAAACTTAACAGGACAACGACATGATCGAGTCCAAACTGAAAGCCAAGAATTGCAAACGTGGACAGCTGTTTCGACTTGGTTGGGTCTCGTCAGCACGGACGTCAACCAGCGCGAAGGCCAAGGTCTTCTAAATGCACAATGTTTACAGACTGGTCAACGTCACAAAGCATTCATATACTTCCTATCCAATACAAGGGCAAAGTTTCGACTAAGTCTAGAAAGTGATTCAGGTAGCAGATGCAAAATAAACAATTCTGGAATTTGCACACGTACTTAAAATTTCCATTTTCTCCTTGTTGGACTGCCCTTATGAATTAACGAAAAACTGAATTGTGTTATGAAAGAGACAAAACAAAAGTTAACAGAGATTACGGACGGTGAGTGGCACAGAGTCTAAAAGTAACTGTAATGACCCAAAATAGTTGGCATGGTTTGTAATGTCACTAAAATCTGCCATTCTTTCGCAGGAACTGCAGACCGTCTTCGTGAATGATTCACCACCTTTGGATACAAATTGTAATAGCACTCCATTGCTCCACACACCTACGGAATTCGAAATTTTCCAAGGTCAGGCGGTAGTTTTTGCCTTTTTTCATAGACCCTATTTAGTCCGGGGCTGGGGAAGGGGATTATACCCGCTGACTTTAACCCCTTATATTTTAATCCTTAAGTCAAAGCTGCCAAACTTTGCGAATTTATCTGGAAATTTGGTTTGAAATGTCATCGTTTTCGAGATTTGCTGTTTCCGAGGCAATCGCGTTGTTTTTCCAGAGTTAGAACTTTCTTATTTACAGAACTTAACTTTACTTCATGGGAAGTAACAGCTAGTAAACAAAGCAACAGTTTGACGTTGACATTTAGAGAAGGGAAAAATACTTTCAGTGCAAAATTAAGGAGATCGTGTTAAAAGCTGTTGCTTTACTAGCTGTTACATCTCACGACGTATATATCATACGGGGGAAGGGGGTGTCACGTGATGATGACAACCTTAGACGACGGCAGCGTAGGAGGCTACCTACGGTCGCAAAGGACCAAGCCCCACCGATCTGAATAGTGTTGAAGGTTAAGATAAACTATTTTAATATTTTTCATCAACGCTAGAAAACTTCTAGCAGAGCTGTCAAGAGATTAGCCGTGAAGCTACATTAAAATATAACATAATTTTCTTTATGAAAAAAAAAAAAAAAAAAAAAAANATCAATCAATCAATCAATCAATCAATCAATCAGTCAATCAATCAATCAGTCAATCAATCAATACTTTATTTAACCATGCGACGCCTAGGAGAGCAAGCGCTCGTTAAAACGTGTGCGTGAACTCAAAATTGTTTAAAAAAAGAAAAAGAAATAGGATTATACAATCTATGTAAATATGTAATATGTAATAGATGCCTAAAAATAGTTATGTACAAACATAATAAGAAATGAGTTATTTAAACTTAAAATAATTGCCTAGTAATCGTTTAAAAGTTAAAAGATCGTTAGCTTTCCTTACAAATGGAGGTATTGAGTTCCAAATCTTGGCGGCTATAAAGGAAAAGGACTTATGCCGCCATTCCAAATTGCATCTAGGCAAATCCAAAATTGTACCGGACTCCCTTAGGTTAGGGAACTTTGAACGTCTAAGCATTTGCAGATGTAAATACATAGATAGCACATTCTCTTCAGTTATTCTAAGACCCTGAGTGTTGGTCTAGTCTAGGGCTCGAACCCTCAACCTCCCATACAGCCGTCTGGCGCTCTACCTGCTGGGCTAGGCTTGTAGTTGACTGATTCTGAAATAACGTGAAGAATCTGCAATATTATTTCTTAGGGTGGGGAGACGTTCTACTTGTCACTTGCTGATGCTTATGTTATCCACGATTTCCAAGTACAGTTTGGTCCCTCGACAATTCCAGTGGAAAGATGCGGCGACAAAGATTTCAAGGGGAAAGTTCCATGTAAGTAAATTATTCCAATCTCACGTGTTTTGACAACAGGCAGAACAATTGATCCTGATGGTCTTAACATCTGCGAAGAAACAAATAAGTTAATTTTCTGTTATTATGTTATTTCATTATTTTATTTCGCCTTTTAACTTTCCAATAATCGACCAAATGGCGAATCGCCAAGCCTTTAAAACTCAGTGCAAACCATGCGCTTCAGTCATCAGATACCTTTTACGAGTACGGGACAAGCGATATCCTCACGTCAGTAAATAAAAGAGGGAAGAAAGACAAATCAAAAATCAAAAATCACACCATTCAAAAGCTATGCCGCCGGTCTATTTGGACCTATTTCTTATCAGAGTGGATGAGTGAGTGAGTAAGAGATCTGTGTGTTACACAAATCAGTTTGGGATCACTATTGTCAGCCAATCAAATTGCTGCTTGTAAAGGTGAATCGTGTGTATGAAGATTTCATCCCGAGTTTTGCACAGCCATCTTTGATTTCCTAAAAACGGCACCAGGTATTGGCCACATTCCGACATTTCCGATGCTGCGCTCACGGTGGTTAAGCCCAGGACTTTGTGAGTGGGTTTCAAAAGACTTCAGAATTCGATAATCAGCCGAGGAATCATAGTAACGCTAACATACATGAAATTTCGAATGAACTTAGACTTAGCCGCTCGACAATTATGTATTTTCTAGGACAGGGACGAGTTTAGTACAGAGTGCACTATTGGGATGGTGAGGGTGGTTTCGAATTTCGCCCGTGATGGTATTCGTCACGATGAAATCAATATCGCCTGCATTACGTGTATTTCACGAAGAAAAGAACGTTGGTACGTCGTAAATTCAAAATTCGCTTTTTGTTGAACTGATCGTAACCAAACAAACTTGTTGGATTAATTTAATCATTCCTTTTAAGAGTCCACTGAATGCTGTTTCTTCTTTTAATTCCCCTAAAAATAACTCTTGCACGCTTTGCATGTCTGTGTTTTTTATGTTTTTTGCATGTCTATGCTTTTTACCTTGAAATAGAGTATTTACTATAATCATTAAATATAACGTTATATGTTAACCAATTTTTCTGTTTGCTGGTAGCAAATTCTAAGGCAGGTGTAGTGCAAGTTTATCTGGTGAACTACCGGCTAGAGAAAATAAGCAATTCCAAACCCTTTGAGTACATCGACCCAGAAAAAGCAAAAGAGGACTTTGTGGAAAAAGACATCAACAGCTCGGAGGATTTTGAAACAATGCTATTCCTACTATCTAGAAAAGTGAGCAAAATAAACTTAAATTCAAACGAGACAAAAGATTCACAAGGGACCAATCAACCTGGTAAGCGTGACTATAAAGTGACTATACAGTAAATTTCTAGAAAGTAGTAGTAAGAAATGTGAATAATCAAATTGAGGGAATAGTTATCGAACATTATCTCAATAACAAACCAGACAGACGCCACAAAAAGAAGAAGAAAACGGCCATTATCGATCCTGTTCCGCTCAGTCGTGAAAGTAGGAACCAACCAAGGCAATCAAGTCAGGAAACACTGTTGACAAATCATTAACCATAAATTCAGACTCTTCTTAATTCTTTCGGTAAACTGACTGAACCTTGAATCAATTGGCCTTTTGATAATTCAGGGACCCCGAACATGTTGAAGTTGCAAACCACGCAACGACTTTTACGAGGGTTCCAACCTCCACTTTTCAATGCGGATCCCAACCTAACCATAGAGGTCAGTGCTCCTCCGCATCTGTAAACCAAAAAAACAAAACAAAACAAAACAAAAACAACAAAACAACACAAAAAAAAATACAAAACCAGAAAGCAATTGACTGTTCTTTTGCCTAGCTTTATGGAAAATTAAAAAGCAGTCAAGCTTCTCTAGGTGAAGTCTGAAAAAGATACATAAAGTGATTTTAGACTAAAATGAACGGGAAGACCTAGACACATTGTGCAATATCTCGCACAACATTTGTCACTTGTGTGTCTACTCCTAAAAATTGAATGAGCAATATCGCAGAAGTGGAACGAGATTCTGCTTATGAAAATTAGCCTTTGCGTGAAACATTGCTCGCGATGTTGCACCGTGTGTCTGGGCCTCTAATTTCTTTGTCACTGTCAAATTAGAGTCTAATAATGCAATTTAATCCATGCTTAGCGGCCGCTCTCTTCTGTGTGTTGTTTAACTTCTCAATTCATCTACGTCATTGTCTTTTGGTGTTTAGGAGGTGGCAAGGCCCAGGCGCTGTCCTTACTTTACATAATTGTGAACACTGCGGCAATGTTAAATGCCGTAGATTTCTTCAGGATAATCTTTAGTACCCAAGTTGGTCACAGTGTGTTTAAGAGCTGTAAAGATGCACAAACGCCATTGGAGGAGATTGCAAGAGGACATGGACACGAGGAACTAGCTCGCCTGTTAGAACAAAAACATTCGATGTATGTTGCCATATACATCGATTACTTTAATTGTTAAAATGGAACGTTTAAATCCCTGTTTAAATGACAACACTTACAGATGTAAAATGATAAATGTTGTAATTTTACTTTCTTAGGTATCAAGGTGATGAAAATGAAAGCGATGACGAAGTAGATTGGAAGGAACTTTCCAGAGCAATAGAGCAATACCAAACACTGAGAGGTTGGTATTTTTCACTCTTTCGTTTTACATTGATTAGTGGAATTCTTTAAACCTAGTAACTATAAAATGAAAAAGGGCAGGACAGTCACACTTGACCATCGGATCAGTTGACTAAATTGCCTGATATAGACTGGCAGTAAGTAGTCGAAATGTCGCGATCTACATCTCAAGTGACTTCTTGGTGAAACAAACAATAATACTTTACTGTTACTACATCCTAACACAATGAACAACAACCATTTTTACAGCAAGAAAGTTGGTGCTAATAAGGATTAATTGCGCGCCGCATATGTGTTTGCTAGACTTGGAAGTCAAAGAAAAGGCAAAGGGAAGTGTAAATGGAATGTCTCGGACATTTTGATTCAAGAGTCCCTGTCCATAAAAATGGAAAATAACTCGACAAGGGTCGAAAATTCGATTTCGCTCATATTTTCATGGTAGATAGGCTAGGGCATGACAAAAACTACTGGATAGTTTTTTNAATAAAGTTACAAAGCTAAGACAAAATTTACAAGTTCATCACTGGTATAAAAATTAAAAGTTCTTATTCTAAATGTTAAAACGAAAGATTGAATACGCCTGTCGAAAAAGATACGTTTTCAAAACCTAAACCAAAACAAACAAATGAGTTTTCAAAACCTAAAATAAATAAGTTCTTAAAACCTAAGCCAGTTAATAAGGTAACTTTAATCTTGATTATAATATATATTTTCTCTTTTCAAACAGGCGAGACTGCTGAGAAAAAGAGCATCCCGAGTACAAGTTCTTTTGAAAAAATACAAGGCTATTTAGGAGATGGAGAAAGTTCCACGTCACTTTCATCTTTACACTTTTTAAATGTTGAAGATACGTTTGAAGATCAACAGACAACTCCGGAATCAATGAGCGGAGAGGAACCCGATACCTGTCAAACAACAGGTAAAAGACAGTGATTTCAATTACTACAACATCCATTTAATATATAGATTTAGCCAAGCCTAAAAGCGGAGCTCCTGGGCCGGGTTGTTCAAAGCCCGATTAAGATAACCCAGGTAAGCGAGAATTTTGATTTGAATTTTGTAACTTTGCAGTGAGGTTTACTGTATATTGTTTGGCCCTCTGTTTTGAGTTTGAATAATCTCAAAATACACAAAACAAAAGCAGTGAAAAACATTTGTATACAAGCAGGAGCCATAATCGGGGACGGAGACCGTAAGTCTCGGGATTCGCGCGCACCTATGATATGGGACAATTTTTCTATTTTTAGAACAAATTGCGC